CCGATCTCCCCAAAACCCCAAAACCCCGTCATGACTTGTCAAGTTGATTAGGAAGTAAAAAAATTAGAAGATTGAAATTAAAACAAACTTAATGGCATTAACAAAAAATTGTAAACTCTTATATTTTATTTCCCAATCATTCATTATTATCTGACACTTATTGTGTAGAAGGAGAAAATTGGAAGGCATTTCATGACATATGCTAGCCAGTTTCATCCAAGCTGAGGATAAACTACAAGTACTATGACCCTAAACTAGATGAAAACGCAAGAGTTTATACGTCAAAAGAGTTGGCTTTGAAAGACAAAGAGAAATAAATCGGTTAAGGTAAGAAGAAGTTCTCATTCAACTATCTCACTACATCTTTGACTTCAAATAATTCTAAAATCTCTTAATATAGTTTTGAGTGAATTGTCTAAGAAGTTTCCAATTTCTGATGTACTCGAGCAGAGAACCATTGAAGAATTAGATGAGCAGTCTAAAACTTATATGTCTCAAAAACCTGTATATCTCATGAGTAGCACAAAATATACTGATTCTAGGAATCAGAAATAATTCTACTCTGTAAATGGCTAACAAGGAAATAGTGAAGTGATAGCTTTGTAAAACATGTAGAGGGCTTAGGATATTATTACTAGAACTACCTTCAACAACAGTTTCACCAAGACTCAAAACAGTACCCAAAATTATGGTAGAAACATTCAAACTGCTAGCACCAATCGAAGATCCTATACCAAAAAGATAAACTCTGTTATCTCACAGTACAGAATGATAACGCCTTAGAAGATGAGTTTCTTCAAGAACTGTATCCCTAGTATAAACAATAGAAAGTTTTACAATTATAATCAGCCGAATGAAACCTTCCCTACTCAAGGGGATGATTGCATAAATAATTTTCAGCTGGACTCTATGTCATCTCCAAAGAATAAATAGGAAATTGATGCAGTTGACACCAGCTACATTGATCAAAGTGAGATGTTTAATGTTAATCTACCTTAGAGAGCCAAATCTTTTCACAATAACTAGACTACCAAGATTAGAAAAATAAACAGTAGTAGCAGTTAGATTCACTAATTTAACCTTAAATAGCTATAGCTGAAGCAGCAAACTTTACGTTAATAATAAGAAATTATAAATCAGACAGCATCTAAGCAAAACGGACTAAATGAAAATAATGTAAGCATAGAGGATCAATTCAGAAGTCAGCCTCAGAGCCTTAGAGGTAATCAAATGATAAACTCATAGATATACAAGACTTTTAGCTAGATAGGGCACATTAGACAAAAATCAGCTAACTTTCAGCAATAAAATCTGAATTAATCCATAAGTGGTTAAAGCGCTAGCATTAGAGGTGGCACAGTTACAAAAGACTATCTGATTGATATGGTCTAGAGATAATATGAGCGAAATAATTAGGATAAGAAGAATCAGTTGAAGAATATCATTTTGAAAAGCCAATATAAGAGTAGTGATGGAGAATAAGATTAAGATTAGCAAGATAACTTGTTTGATAGTTCTAAAATGAATGATAAGCACTATAAAACAGATGCTGCTAACTACATATTCAGAGAGAATTACGAGGAGACTAGTGGTATGCTGAATAAATATAACCCTCATGATACTGATAGAGAAGATTTGAATCCTAACTAAAGTGAAATTAAACCTTAATTTAAGCAATAATCGTATTTGAGTCACAGGCAGTAACAGATTCAAAATGACTCAGAGTAAAACAATATACTTGGACAATTTGGCTATATATTGGATTAGTCATCCAGCGTGCATCCAGTTGATAATAAAGAGAACTTTGGCTTGAATCTTGTGATTGAGAATGCCCCAACTTTTCATGGTGCTAGAACTCAGACTACGAAGAACAGAAATAATGTAAGTATAATAATAATCTAAAAGAATATTGTGTTGAAATGCTTTATAGGAACAGAGAAGAAGTAAGACATAGGAGAATGGAAGATAAAGTAAGTACATGCTGAAAAAATTAGTCAAGTTTCCTAAGAGATTAGATCAAAAAGACAACCATAGAGATATTCATGCTGAAATTACTAAGGAACTTGAATAGTATTTGCCTTTAGAGATCAGAGATGTAAGCTCATCATATGCCAATCAATTTAAAATCTTTAGAACATTGTTGATTTGGAGTACTTGAAAAGAAAATAGGTAATCAAAGAGCACTTCTTGAAAGATTAGCTTAAAGTTAATAAGAAAGCACCAGCAAGACATTTAACAGCTGCTAAGAAGGAAATTTATAAAAGATTGATTAAGCATTATGACCCAACTCAAATTTAGGATGTAAATTTTATATATTTAATACAAGTAATAGTAAATCTTACAAAATAGTTTTGAGGTTTTGAATGTTGTAAGATCTAGTGCGATAAATAATCTCACCAATGACAACAATAAAAACTCAGAGCAGAATCAAACAAAACATTCTTCCTTTAATAACACAAAAACTAACTTTAACATTTAAAATGATGGAGGTCTAGATTCTAGGAAGGTAGATAAGATAGTAAGTGGCAAAATATATGAGTTTCTAGTTAAGAAAAAGCATGTTCTTCTACCTAATCCTGAAAAACATTATAAATATCCGAATTATTTTGATCCTAATCGGGATTTGTTGGATTTTTGATGATTTAATAATCTTATTATATATTATGTCTTATTAATCATTACTCTATTTAAGCTTAATTACCAAGGGGTTTTGGGGTTTTGGGGTTTTGGGG